CACCACTAACTCTTGGGCTTCTCGAATTGAAAGAATTCTGTGGTAACGGGACGCGAATCATGGGACTTCAGATCCACAGTCCGACACATTAATTACTGGTCGGCCTGGGAGGTTTGAGTACAGTTCTATGATATATGCAGCAACACCGCATGTGAACATTTTACTTGAAGACGTTCAACAACAAGAATATGGCTGGTTAGCTTTATCTAGAATCTCTCAATTTGGAAGCTAAAATTCGTCTGGGGAATTTTGTGAGGAAGTGAAATATCAATGAAAGAAGCTGGAGCCTACATCAGTTCCTTTTAGAAAGGGGTCGAGTCAATGAAGGATACAACAGCTTCCCTGTCACCTTTATTTTCCTCAGTACAAGAGCCTTTCTGGGTTCTTCTTAAAACATGCTGTTTGATAAATAGCTAGCCAGTGCTGATAGACTAGAGGAAAGGCAGTTAGTCAACTTAGTCAACACCATCCATCGCCAACTTTTGGACTATTCTGTTACCAAATGACAATGGGATTTACCGCCACATTATAACGCCCCCACGGCCGGAAGGACGAACATGTTTAGTGTGCCGGAGATTGGGAGTTGAGCGCCCTAGCTAGATGAACGAACTGACAGATGTAACACTCTTTTCAAGCTTAGTGGTTCTGTAAGTTCGATTAGTAAGCCTGCGCTTGTTTTGTTTTTAATTTATATAAAATATCACTGAAACTCTAAAGTAATTAGGAAAAAAGTATACAAGCTTGTAGAACATATTTTTCGTATTAAAAAAATCACAATATTTGAACTACCCCTATACGCCGATGAGGACCTAGACCATTCGCACAATTAGTACCCCGATTTTCCTTTTTAATTAGGAAAGGCTGACAGACATTACCGAAGCTATAAAGTTGTATGGGGCCAGGTTATTTACATGCTTATTCAAGTCGGTAACAGTATTATCATGACACCAAACGAAAACATGCACTTTAACAATGCCTACCACAACTTTAAAAGTTATGATAATCCGAAAGAATACATTAATCAGTTAGAGAAACTTCTAAATAATTCAGATTTTCAAATATGTAATCCAGTTACTATCAATGTTCGGAGACATGTATTGGAATTTAACACCTTTTTACGAATCCATATAACCTATTTGTAGCTATTTCTTTGTTAAAATGTGTACGTTATTCACCATTCGTAGTCTGAATGCGAATTTGTATTTGTTTGTTTATTTTTGAATTTCGCGAAAAGCTACTCGAAGCTATCTGCGCTAACCATCCCTAATTTTGAAGTGCTAGACTAGCGGGAAGGCAGCTAGTCAACACCAACCCACGCCAGCATTTGGGCTACTCATTTACCAACTTAAAGTGGGTTTAACCGTCACATTATAACGCCCTCACGGCTGAAAGTTCATGCATGTTTGATGACGGGATTCAAATTCGCGACCCGCAGATAAGAGTCGAACTCCATAACTACCAGGTCTACGAATTTGTAAATAAATCGACTCATGCATATTATTACAAATCAACCAGCAATGTTATACCTTCAATGGGATTCTCAATATGCTATGTTTACTTTTTATTGAAACAAGAGAGACTTCTAAAACATGGGTACAGGAAATTGGAGTAAATTAACCCTTCAATTGCGGTTGACATCATATGATGTTAACGTTGGCGACTGCTGTTGACATCATATGATGCAAGCATTTTGCGCGCAACATTTTGAATGACCCGCCGCAAACATTCGCGAATATTTACGCATGGTGGTAGATAGATTTAAACAAGCCGCAAACGAAGGGTTAAAGGTTTGTTTGGCCTAGTTTGTAATCTGTATTTCTGTGATGCAGTCCATGCGAATGTATTAAGAATTACATATGAATTTTTGTTGTTTTAGAATCAACTTCAAGTATTTTACCATTCTGAGATATACATGTCTCTAAATTGAGAAGGTGAATTTGGATATACCCAGTTTGAATTTCTTATTACGTGTTTTTTTTTCTTCTGGTTCTTCTGACCTATTTCCATTTTACAAGTCAGTGAAAATAATTCTTGATTTGAAACTGTTTTAGTTATCAATATTTAGTGAAAGATAATACCTAACTATAAATAATACATATTTTAATTTAAAATCTTCTTGGTTTTGTTTGTTTCTGTTAAGCGCCAAGCTGCACCATGGGCTATTTGTGTTGTGCCCATCACGGGGCTTTCTTGGAACCAAGAAGCATTTATGATCACGAAACCGTATTAGCGAAAATAAACAATCGTGACTGTACTAAGCCTAATTATTACCAAGCAGTGTGCTGTTACGTTTCCATTGTGTATTTATACTAACGTCTTTCTTCTTTTGGTCTGTCATGGCCTGGTGATAAGGGCGCTTGGCTCACAACTTGCAGGGATAGAATCCCTCTCCCAAACATGTTCGCTCTTTAAGCCGTTGGAGCGTTATAATGTAACGGTCAATCCTACTATTCTTTGGTAAAGAGTAGTCCAAGAGTTCGCAGTTGGTGTTGACTAGCTGTCTACCCTCTAGTATATCACTCGATAACTCTGGAGTAGCTTCTTTGTGTAAAATCCAACAAACTTCTTTTTTGTTCATTATGCAAGAAAAGTTTACGATTCAGATACAAAAAGAAAATCTACGAAAACGTTTTATTTAAGATTCAATTTATCCTTGCGATAAAGGTGCAAAAACATTCAGTATACCCTACAGGTCTAAATCATTCATTACATATAAAAATGTATTAAAAAGAGAGGAAAACCCAATCTAGGTGTTTTATACCTTATAACTATAAAAAATGACCAAATAAATAAATTAAACATTTAGGAACGAATCATTTTATGTAGTATCTATAATCATTTCATATAATTTTAATGATTCATCTTTTACCACAAACATAAAAAAATGGGGACTTATGAATACATTGGTCTACTTGTTTTCTTACGTGACTATCATTATTAATATAACTATTTTGGTTTAGTTTTTCGCACTAGATTCAAATGAAACCTTAAGACGCACAAAGCAAGTAAAATAGTGGATTATTTTATGTATTCTCTTGCTCTTTAACGAGTATTTTGTCTGCTTTCATTATAATTTTTATTTAAACAAATAGTCATCCTATAAAACGTTTTATATAAATACCTCTTAAAATTTTTAATTTACATTTGGATTTATCACTGGAAGTGATTTTTGTCCAAAAACTCTTCTACTTGTCATCTCTTAACATTTAATATTTTTTTAACATAACAAAAACTACTAAACATGTGAACTTGGGCTTTTCTCACTATTCCATTGTTTTATTTTATTTTGTATTAGATTATATTGAATAGTGTTCTTGGGTTTGAAAAATTCCAAATTTTACATCAAAAGTTGAACAAAAACTAGGCACACTTATACATTCACACTTGTATTTTTTCTATGAAAGTCACTTTTCATATTAAATATCATCTCAGTACAATGTATAAAATTTCGTTGTTATGAAAAAGGTCTTTATGATATCCTAAATTACAATAGGTAAACCTCCATCAATCTCTTTTATTCTACATAAAAAAGCACCATGGGACAATAAAGTAAAGATTCTAATTCAAATTGTATTTTACTCTATCATGCCAGAAAAAAATATTTTTTAAACAAACTTTGTAAAAATATTTCTTTTATGCAATAACAACATAGGAATAAATTCAATTGTAAAAGAATTCACAGCTTCATCTTGACAAAAAAAAAAGAAAGCTTTTAAATGATTAACTATAAAAGAATGTTTGACAGTTTAGGCTCTTAACCACATTGATGTTGGAATAATTTTTGTAGTGGAGATACTAAAAACCACTTAACAAAACTGAAATTCCTGTATATGATGGCCAGAAAACATACATGCACAGCACCCCTGTATGTCAAGCCAGGGGATGCTTCCTCACCCTCACCACCCATAGTCCCACCACTCTTGCATAACCATCCTTTTGGTAATAAGAAGAAACGACGGCAATTGTTCTTTCTTACCTTTTTTTTAAACTAATTTTGAAAGTCCAACATAAAGTAAACTTGGTTCACTAATTTTATTTATATAGCAGCTGAAATCTTACTAAAATACTGAACAAGCCAAGTTAACTGTGATTAGGTTGTCAACTTGTCAAATGAATTTTTTTCCTACATTACAAGATTGATACTGAACAGTTAAAAGTATTTCAATCAGGTTAATATAAAGCAGTAAATGTGATAAAAAAGATTGTTGAAAGAATGTAAAGTATCAAATGTCTCCCATATCCATTCGTAAGTAAGGACAAATTGAACCCTACTGTGAAAGAAAGATAAAAATTGTATTTAAACTCATATTTTAGATATGAATACTAATGTATACGAGTTATGTGAAAAACTAAACTTAGAAATATCATTCAGTAGCACAAATGCAGAAATGTATTACATATCAATTAAAAGTACTACGAAATAATTTCAATATAGCAAAGTAAGTGAAGAATATCTTGTAAAAGATTATCTTAGATGTAAGGGTTTTTCTTAACATTTAATGGTACTGAAGTAGTAAAGTCGTTTTGTTTGAACCAACTTCAGCAAATCATGTTTTTAAAGCTAGTCTATAATTTTAACACTGTAAAAAATACGTCCTCTATTTTAATACAAGTCATTACTTCATTCACAGTTTTCCTAATATCAACAATATTTATGTTACACAATCATATTCTAGAGTAACTACTTTACATAATATAATATATTAAGAATTTTATAAAACAACATAATCACATTGTTGTAAAAACAGCTCTCTTTTATTTTCCTTTCCCACATACTTATACCAAGATCATTTTTTTTAATGTACATAAGAAAACCAATTTGCAGTTTTAATCACATTTAGATTACCAACTGTAATATCTTTAATCTAAAAAAAATCAGAAATAAAGTATTTATATAATTGAGTTAAACAATACTATTCAGTTAAATGGAAGAGAAAAAATAAAATTTAAATATATACAGAAGATTAAAAACTAAAAGATTGGATTAAGTAAATAAACAAATATCTGTTTTTAAAAAAGTTATAACATCAATTTAAAAATTTTCATTGAGAAACAAAATTCATTACGTAAAGCTATTAAAAACTTACTTTATTATGAAAATATAAAACAGGCACAGCAGAAACATATATCTTTTTAAAAATCTATAAAAATAATTTTAATGTGTTACTGTACATAAGATCATATTTTCATGCATATGTTTTTCCAGGACTTATGACAAGAATACTAATTAGTTAGTTCTAATTTTTAACTTTAACATAGACATATACATTATTTTAAAGATCAGCTCATTTATTTGTATTAAAGCAAAGAAGAAAGTCTTTTTAAAATTTATTTATGATTACTTGTTTGTTGCAAATATTATTTCATTGTGTGGCAAATAATTTTCAGTGAAAAAAACTTAACCTGGAAATTACTTGAAAAACTGTTTGCTTGTCATATCTTTCTACCAGATCAAAGTAAACTTGCAATAGATAAGAAAGAACTTAAAGCTTATTTACTGAAAAACAATAAGTGAAACAGCCCATTTAGTTTTACTATAGCGAATATCCAATATATTTGAACTTTGCTTGAGGAATATTCTGTTTACTAAAAAAACAAATTTAATTTCTTTGTTTTCCATGTTAGTTTATATCCTTTCCCTCAAGGTATTTCAGCTAAAGAATTTTAACAACAAATAACTGATTTAATCACTAAACAAATGGAATGATTTTTCAACTTTATGAAATACACACACAGTATGTAGCTATTAAAATCTTTAGATTGTGGTTCATTACCTCCATTTATAAACAAATAAATGCAAAACAAAAACATTTTAATCTTTGGAGTGTAACCTACTGATTATTATTAATATTAGAAAGCATGAAAAGACACTTTGGAAAAAATTGTATCAACAGTGGGAGTTCATGAACTATGAACACTATAAAATAACCTGTTTAAAAAGCTGTGAGTCTATGTATGTTCATGTTACTCTGTTTGAAATTAGCACCTTTCCAAATACATGAAATTTAAATCCTTTTAGACTAGAAACATTTGCACTTCCAACCAAAGATGGAAAAGAAGCATTGTTGAATTATTTAGCATTAAGTAAAAATGATAATTTCTAATCAAAGTGATTTATAACAAATTTCATCAGACCCTTAATAACTTCAAGTCATCAGCTGGTATTATGATATAAAAAATAATTCTTACCAATGCAAAAATACAATACTTTGAACTGGAAGTTAAGTCATTCTATAAAATACTGTGATGACATGATAATAAGAAGGAAACCATATCCTTTAAAATTGTGTTAAATCTTGTTCTTATTACCAATAAAACTGTCAATTGACAGTTTTATAATAAGATGAAAATTCAATTAATATTTATTGTTTTGCATTCATTCTATTAGTATTTTTATGGCTTATGGTAAGATGATAACAAAATGATGGAAATTCAACCAGTCAGTGAACAGTGAATATGACACAAACTGCATGGATATACTGCTTGTGGTCAGAAATCTAGGGCATTCTGTATCCTAAAAAAAAAAAAAGCATTTTATGAATAAAACTTGTTACTTTTCAAAATACATGACACAGATCAGAGCATGTTGGACATTTTGTTCATAAGAATCGGATTTTAAACACCATAGCTGATAACTTAAACAAATACCATATTTAAACAGGATATCTGACACTTCAATACAAATGCTATGCTTAGTGTTATATTCTACCATTTAAACAGAACTAATACAGTTTTTACCTTAACATTTTATCTTTTAACATCATATCCAATATTTTAACAAATTAAAATATTTTCTGACACGTATCTCAAATTTTAACATAATTACTACAACTTTTTACATCATCTCTGATAACTGAACACAAAGGATCAATTTCCAACATCACACCTGTCATGTTAACACAATTAGTATAATACTTAAAATCATATCCAACATTGTAATACAAATATCCATGTCCTTGCACAACAGTTTGATATTTTTATTACTTATCAATAAAACCCTTGAAAGCATTTCAAAAATTTTATTCCTAATAAATATCATGTACTCTAAAAGAAACCTTTTATTAACTTCATAAAGTGCCTTAATGAATTGAGCAAAAACATAAATATTAGCTGGAAACTACAATAAGCAACATATATAGTGCTCTAATAAAAATAATTAAAAAAAAAGATGTATTATTTTTATATAAATACTTTCCTTAATTATTTTATGTTTGACCAATTAATAGAAAAACCAGTAAAAACCTTTCAAATATTGTAAGAAAACAAGAATGTTGTACAAACAAAAGTGAAATGGGCAGTAAATGCCTTGTTCAGCATGATATTTGTGGAGAAAGTTTTGATGGACTAATCTACAAAAGTAACTCAGTATTTCAAATGACTTCCATCTTTTCATCTTCAGGACGTCTTTTAAAAACTAATATCCTTTCCATCTGTGCTACTTTTGTTCATTAGACCTCCAAGATTATCTCCACAAGTGTTAAGTTCAACTAGGCAGTTACTGCTTATTTCCCATTTATTTGTTCATTATAACTCTTCCTAACTCACCTACAAAAGAGTAATTATAAATGTGTTTTAAGTCATATAACAAATCACATTAACATTATTGCTAGGATTTCTTTTCCCACATAAATTTGAAAATACATGATATATAATACATAATATATATCAAAATTGTTCAAATTGAAAAGTTTTCTAAGCATCAGTCAAAAGCTTATTTAAACTTTAAGGCTTTTCCCTACATAGATTTGTATCTAATCATATTCACCTATTACTCACTATAATAATAATAGCAGTTTTTAGCAGTACAAGTCCGCAGACACTGGGGGAGCAATTTATTGGGAAAAAACAACAACATAAAATCTGTACTTTTAACAGAGCTCAAAGAGCTGTAAAATGACTTCTATTGTTTGTATTTTTTAAGGGTATTAGAATTAATCTTTTCATAAAGCATTGTGGAACACAAGTTCTAGTAATAGTTGTTTGGATAAAGAAAGAGCTAAAGTTTAGTGAAACTGCATGAAGATAAAGAAATTTGTGAAACAACTGGAACAAGATATATGTCTTATTGATAATCATCTTTTCTAATGCATTAGAACAATTGTGCTACAAGATTTAATTTTCAACACTAAAAATCAGCCATTGCAATTCATAAGTTATGATAAATTAATAATTCCCATCTTATATAGATATTAGTAAAATAGTATGCAAGTTTACCACAAAATGGAAATAATAAAAATCAAAGACAGAGCTCAAGTCACAAATATGCTATTACTCACATTATTCAAATACATAGCTTTTAAGCTTACAGTTCTGATATACATTCGTTCTTAATTTCTGGGCAAAGTAAGTAAAATTTCCTATTACAGGTTTTTAGAACATTAATTTTTGAATCTACTTGGAACTTACCATGAAATTTAAAGGTTCTGTTTCACAGCTAATCTTCATTTACAACCTAAATATGGCTATCTTGCTTTGTCTGTAAAGTAAAAATAAAAAATAATGTTGAGGAACAACCTGACAAGCACACACTCTCATTGTTAAAACCACAAGAGTATTTTTTTTAAAAAACAAAACAATTTAGCATAATTAGAACCTAAAGAGTACAGGCATTTGTAATGTGTACTTTGGATATTAAAGTATTAATATTTATGAAATTGACTGTACCTGAAGAAAAAATTAACTTAAATTTATAAATGATTCAAACCAGTGTGTTTAATAATCATGTCAAGAATGTGTCCTTTGCCATCCCCAAATGCTTCTTTGGTTTGTGAAGTAATGAATTAAACCACAATTTTTTTTGTTTGATACACATTCTGCATTGTATCTTAATAAGCCATTAAGTGTGTAAAATTATCCCAATTCATTCACTTTTTAAGCTCCATTCTATTATCTTATTTTATCAGAATTTGAAAACTTTAATATACACAAAAAGATAGAAATTCATTACATTAAAAATAATAAAATTTACATATAATATGAAAAGCCATATTACTTATAAGTATTAACCATCATAAAATTTAGAAAAATAGCATACGTAGTGGGTCTGTGGAAAAGACTTTATTGGTCTAAGAATTTCTCTGAAATGCAGAGCAATAATGGGTGCAGTACTTTTGGTAAATTTGAAACTAAGCTTCAAACTAAGCTCCTTCAGTTTAAGATAGTTTTTATCCTTGAACATTTAGCACTAAGCTTTGTCTCCATGACCAAACAAAAACATGCTTTTTTAAACCATAAAATACCCCACACACAAAAGTATATTCACCCACCACCTCCTAATAGTTGGCTTTAATTTAAATGTAAGATATTTGAGATTGCATCAACTTTGCATAATATTATTTTAAACCAGTTCAATAAATGACATTTTAAATGTCCTTGGTTACTCAATGTCTTAAAAATATAGATTTAATTCTAATATTTAATTCATAAATTCTGAATATTCCTACCTTCATAATTTTCAAAGAAATCTAATGTATCATCCAAACTCTCCACTGGAGAATCAATTAATGGCTGAAATGGAAAAAAAATAATGTTTTCAATATCTTTTGCTAAACCACTACCACATAAAACAGAAGTGTAAAAGTAAAACATTATTTAAAAAAACAGAAGTAAGCATGTACATAATGGTATTGTGTTAATGAGGTATAAAGGGTATTATAAAATTGCTTAGCCTATACTATCATCTACAATTTGAAAATTGATCATCAGAGCACAATGATATTTTGCATATTAGGCAACGAGATGATGGGAAAGACAATGGGTTGGAGCAAATCATATTTCTTACCTTGGGTAAAATATAAAGTGGAGAGAAGGTTTTAGAGTGCTAATCCTGTCCAGACGGAAAGCACCTACTGCCAAAGATGAAGTAATGGAGATCAACTTGTCAGTAATTTGGTGATCAGTAAGAGGCCAACCCCCCAATTAGAGTTGTAAAATGAGAGCCAATCCAACAGAACCTTGTGATCCAACATTTATTCTGTCTGGAGAATCTGTTTCGATTGAGACAATGGACCTGCTACCACAGGCATCACCCGTGGAACATGGCAAGCTAGAAGGGTGATTAGATAGGAGTGGTCCCAAGAAAGGAGGTCCAAAATTCGAAAATAAGGAGCCCTAGACCACTTGCCTCCTGGATGAGAAACATAAGACACAGTCAGGGAATAGTCAATGGGAATTCTGACAATTTATCCTTTAAGAAGCCAATATCATGAGCCCTTGCCTGTTGAACAGCAAGGACGAAAACATTGTGTAGGGAATACTCGTTGTCTGTGCATAGACTCTGGAATTCCTGACTATTGGAATATGCACACCATCCCTGAAGCAAGGCATTCGTGAAGAGAATGGAACTCTGGACGAGGTGGCAGTAGAGGAACCCAAATCGTACTATTGTCTCGACTTAACAACCCCTTGAGATCGAAGAATGATCCTGACTAAGGAAACTGGGGGAAACCAGTAAATAAATATGTACTGGAGTACCAGAACTGGAATACCTGACCCTTGTGCACCACAAACACCGATAGTGGTGGGACTCCACTGCTAAGGCAAACTGCAGGTAGAAGCAGACTACAACCAAGTAGAATATATACAGTCCCGGTAAAAAAATCGACACAGATTGAAAAATGAATCTAGGTATTGATATAGACAAGGAAGATCGATGACTGGACACCAATCTCCTGTCTGTATAGGCCCAACGACTGCCAGGAATAAAAACTCTGAATAACTAGCCCGACTCCCTCACTACCCCCAGACAAACCAATCTCAGATAATCCTAGAACTAATTCCAAATCCTGATGAACTGCAGGAGACAGAAACCCTTCAAGTTGGTTGGATAATAGTGGTGTTGATATGAACTGAATGAATAATTGTGACTCAAGGACCTGCAGTGTACCTGGATCCATAAGTAATATTAACAGCGTCAATTACATGTACTCTCTTCAGAGTACCATATACAGCTCCGACTGAAATGTGGAATCTTACTGCAATTTTTTGTATGGACCATCCTTTACCTTGATTTCTACACACACTTGTCATGCAGTTTTTCAGCCCTGGGAGTCATACACTTCATCACACTACTACTACTACTACTGAGCATTGCATTATTTTCTATACTTTTCTATTCTTTATACTGGTCTGGCACAGTCCAAATGATTGGATGAGAACCAATTGCAGTGTAAACTATCAACATGTATCTCTAATCTTGTGCAGTCCATTTTGACATGTAATAATTGCCTTTATACTCATTTTTCTCATTGTTTCCATAATTATTTCCAATACTGTAGATACATATTTTACTCTTAGTTGGATAAAAAGTAGTGATAGATTTTAAAATTAATCACAAATCACACATTTTATATGTAATAATGCCATGACTACTAAGAGGAAAACATATCATAAGGTAATCAATATTATTAATACATGAGTTAATGATGTCATAAATATGATGAGGTAAAGATATTCTGACTACTACATAGTAATGACATCACAATCACTGTTAGATATACATGACTGTTTCTGTTTAAGTTTAATGCAATAGTCATGATTTAGCTAGTTATATAGCATAAGTGATAAATTTCATTATTTTTAGTTATTTGTTTATGCAACTGTTTATGAATCATACTTTGTGTAGTTCAATTCTTTTGAATTGATGATTGTTATATTATTGTTTCATTCACTAAAACCATCTAAGTTTTCTCATTGTTTTAATGGAGTATTATTGCATCATAATATCTTGCAGTGTCTGGAATGTTCTAGGCCTCTGTCAGGCTATAATTATTTATATGTCCAAAATGTAGTTAATTAGATATAGTTAGATAGATCTAGACTGTGTGATTGTGAGTTTAGCCATAAAGAACGTGCAGAGGCAATTTTTATTTTAAAGTGAACTTATCACAGATTGTTTTGTAATAATAGAGTAGAGAAGAAATAACTTGTCGTCTCAATTGTGTTCTAAAGTAATTGAACTAACCTGTGTGAAAAAAAGAGACAATTATTCAGAGCTCTGGATACAACTGTAATAACCAACTGTGTAACAAACATTTATATATGCATTTAGCTTGTTTTAATATATCATTTTTAAAATAAATGGACGGTGGTCTGTTTGTTTATTGATGAAGTTTACTGGCAACAAGTCACAGACACCTACTGTAAAGAATCTCGCCCATACATACAAAAACCTGACAATCACCATGAAGTAATAATGTCACAACTACCTTAAGATATCACAAATAGCTTTGTGCAAATTGCTATTGTGTACCTTTGCATGAAAACAACAATCATTGAATGATAAATATATGATTACCATGAGGTAATGATAAAAACCCAAGCTGAACAATGTCCAATTAATATTTAAAACAATTTTTTACCTCTGCAACTTTATGAGAAGTGGCTATTTTATCTTTCTTCAGACAACTACTGTCAAGAAGTGACAGCAGCTTTTGGAGTTCTGATTGAAGAGACCTGTTAAAAACAAAAAAACACACTAAAACTAACACAAAAAACAACAACACATTAATAATACAATAAGGAATTATACAAAACATAACAAATAAAAGATTTTTGAAATTTACTTTTATTCTATAGTGGCACAAAGAAAAATACTAAATTTCCAGGAAACTTGTTAGCTTTAATCAAAAACATTATGATATAGTAATAGATCTTTTTTCTATTTCTAACTATGAAATTCAAAAATCCAAATCATATTCAAAATATCTAAAGCTTTTTCTACATTAATTTTTTTTTCTAAAGTGCAAGACTGCACAATGGGTTATCTACACAGCATCTATTAAAAGGGTAGAAACTCATTTTTTTTTCAGTACCCCTCAACTTTGCTGCAGAGCAAATGGAGAAGCAATCGACATTAGGCTATATCTTCATGTATCTATGTAATATTTTACAAATATCCTGCGTAAAAATAATTTTTTATTAATCTCTTGCAATTAAATAAATATTTGCATATCTTATAAGTGTGTCAGGTTTAGGTCTTTATATTTAAATTTATGTAGAAAACAGCCTTAAAATAGATGAGCACATTAAACTGCATAAAAACATTGCAACTTAAATATATATCAAAATCAGCTGTCAAAGCGAAAGGAATTGTCTCTAAGACATCCCGAGTTAAAACATATAAATATTACTGGTATTAAAATCACAGTAATATTTTCAAATAGTAAAATGTACATACTGTAATACAACAAGAAATATATATATTATCATACTGATCTTTCCTGACACCTGCATTACCTTTTTATTTTACAGTTTTTGTTTTTAAAATATGCAGCATTACTATCACTAGACTCATAAAACTATTTCTAGACTTTTAAATTTGCATTGCAATGTTTCTGCTGTAAACTTGAAATAGAAGAATAGAAGTTGATAAGAAAGTGGCATCATGCTAAAAAAATAATTAAAAACACAGAATAAATTAATATAAACTACTGATAATGCTGTAATCTGGTGACAGTAAAGACTATTACATAAAATACCAATAGTACAGTAACATGAAAATGAGGTAAACCATTTAATGTAACTTGAATTGCATTTTATTGCATTATTTTATTTTAGAAATAGTTTGTAGTTCATTTTTATGAGTCATACTTTATCATATATACAAAGATATTTTACAAATCATCATTTCTTTTACCTTGGTACATACTTACTTATTTATATTCTCTAAAGATTCAACTTTCTTTTTGAAGTCATTGTTTTCATTTGTTAATATCTCCACACTAGGCAAAAAATAAAAATAACAAAACTTTCTATTGTTTTTAGGAATTTAAAATTTTAATTAAAAAACATCCAATCTTCCATATGACAATCTTCAACTAACATGATTCATTGCTTAAAACATTTAATGGTTACTTCAGCCAACAATACATAGCATAGTAATAAAATTGTTCCAAATAGAATTGTTGTTACACCTATTATATTTTATTATTATTATATTTGGTATATTTTGATATAAAATGCATGAGCTACCAATCAAGGTGGGATAAGTCTCTTAATTAATTTACTATAAATTTCAAATCATAGATGTGTAAGAAATATTACATCAGGTCTATCTGTAATCTGCAACAAATCAATATTATTTTATTATGCATCTGTTAGATCTACTTAGCTTCATTCTCTTTGAGTTTACCATTTTACACTATAGCACAGGATATCATGTGCTGTATATAAGTAAGATTTCACATATACTTTTGGCTGCTATAATCCAGCCCAGTTAATGCATTCTGGTATTGAATGAAAGGTCTCTTGAGCAGCAAATTATGGTTAGCAAAATATAACCTGAAATGCTATTTTAACACACCTCTGATTTGAAAATTATACTGGAATAATTAAGAGAGATACAAAAAAAAAAAACTTATGGTAATTTCAGTTTTATCTTTTATTTTATTTGCTTGGCTTGGATTCAAACCTATGAGCTCTTGTAAACCAGTTTAATACATTATACCAATTGAACTAAATGGTTAACCCATTGACACTTCCTATAAGGCACTTTCTTTAATAAATGACAATACCACAATGCATTAGCATAAAAAAAAACTTACAAACAAGACAAATCATTCCAAAAAATATGAAATCCGAATTACATACTTAAGAACATCATAATTAAAAGAAAATTTAAATAAATTGTATTACTTTCTACTGTAATTAATTACTAAAAACAATTAATAACCTTTTCATCACACAAACAGTGTTAAACACACACATTTCTAAAAAAAAAGTGTTATAAAATAGATAAAGAAAAAATTTTTTAACATTAGAATACACACATATATACATACATACCAACAGGTTGCTTTAAAAGCAAAAGTTGTTGGAACAAGTGCAAAAAACTCACTTTTTTTCTAATGTATCTACATATTCCTTTCTTTTTCTTCTACTTTCTTGTGCTGAAATCTGTAAAAAATAATGTATGTTTTAAATAAATGTTTCCACAATTTATTTTTCTACAATGTATAAACAACTTCTCTTCATAACTGCTAATCTAGGTTAATCATTGTGCAAATTATTTTCAGTTCTTTTGCAGTATGACAGTTAGGTAACATAACTGACAATAATGTGCAAAAGTACAACTTACCTAAACTCCTGATTAGAGATAACTTATTATTTGAATTTTAAGATTATCTTGAAAATCAACAAAAGCCAAAACTGAAAATATAATGTGTAACTAACTTAAAAGGATTATTCTTTAATCTATAAATATTAAACATGAATCCATGTTTTGTAGGACACACACTGTATATTTCTCAGAAACATTTTACTTAACAGTGCCGAAACTTCATTAGAAAAACTTGAAACTCTAGCCAATCATATGTCAAATACTGGTCTGTGAAAAATACACTGTTATTTTAACTTTAGATATGAAAAACTTTAAACTTTCAGTAGCTGTATAGTAAATAAGCTATAAGAGACTAAATAAATAACTTCACTTGTTATTTCTGGAAATATTCTCAAATTAAATAGCCTGTACTGAAAACATATTTGTTCCAAATCATTGTCACACAAGTTTTCTTCTTTTTTTTACATACTTGGTTTGGGTCCTAGATTAACACATAGCTACACAAGACCTATTTGCACTAGCTATCCCTAATTTTGATCTTACGGGCTAAAGGGAAGAATATGAATCTTGGATCCTCAAATTCATTCTGATATACAAGCCAATATGTTATATCCAGCCTCTTTTAGCAGGGAAATAAATCATTTAATTTTATTCTTTCTTTTTAAAGGAGTTATAAATTATATAGATGTTTTTTGGTCTATCTTCAGTCATGTCAAATGATTTTAGTCAATTAAAGGCAATAGTTTGAATATTTTTTCTATTTCTCTGATAAGAAAACATCTGTTGACAACAGTAAGATATTTAAACTTAAGACCATGTTCATACAATGAAAATATTTATTGATTAATATTTTCCACATTGCTTATTAATTAAAGCACGAGTTAAAAGAGAAACAAAATTCAAAAATTACATTCATTAAAATATGGATATTGTCAATATTACTCATAGTCTTACAAGTTTAACTTCTGGGTGATATAACGTATTTGAACCAGTCATATTATCACATGAGTTGTAGACCATGGTCACCAAACCAAATTTGACAACGTTGGCAGACATTCAAATATTTGTTCTTATCTCTATACCCGTACCAGCTTCTCTTTCGCCAGTAGAAAAATATTTACTTTTAAGTTTATTTTTTGGAAATTAGAAATGCAATAAAGAGTCAATTATAAGTTGACCATTGACTTATTAGGGGCAGGAGATGAGATTGTTTGTTTCTTTAGTGAAAAACTACACAATAAGACACCTGCACTCTGTCTATCACACAGAATACAACCACAGATTTTAGTGTTGTAAGTCCATAAGCTAACTGTTGGGGGGGGAGGGAGAAAAATGAAATTAGAAATACAGTATACAATACTCGCATCAAAAATCTAAAATTAAAAATGTAGATTTGCCCTTGTTCATTTGTTAGGTAAACTGATTATATGAAGAATCCAAGTGTAAATTACTCATGTCTGTAAAACAAGCTAAAGCTTTTAAAAACAGAATATTATATACACATTTATCACAAGTATCTTCTAAATTTGTGTGCCTGTTTCTATAACATATGAACTAGCACTTACAAAATAGTAGCAAGTGAATTTGTAAAAGTGGTTATGTTTTATATAGAATGTTACCTTATTCTTAATTTTTCTTCGAACTTTCTTCAATGACCTTTCTTCTGCTTTAGTTAGTGGAAGTCGGTGAGGAATTGGATAGCCCTCTGCCAGCAGAGTGCGTTTTTCTTCCTCTGTAAGTACTAATGCTCCTGTTGCACCTTTCTAAAAATTATGATACATTTTACATCCTTTGATTTTGGTGTATATTACTAATTAGATAATGTATTAATGTTCTCTTTGTATGGCTGATCTGAATTATAACTATTTGTATATACTTCAACAATACACCAGATAGTTTTGTACCCTTTTACAACAATTTTTCTGAGGATGATCTTCACAGTAGGGATGTTTAAATAAAGTATAATAAATATTCAGAGGTAATCAGAATAATTTATACAAAAGTCATGTCAAGTCACAGTGCTTCAAAACAAAGACATGTAGAAATATCAGCATTATTAAAATGTGATGGTTGTTTATATAAGAAAGCATAATTATTGATGACAATAATAATAACAATAATAAGTTGTATGTACATTTGTTTTATTGTCTACCAGTTGTATGCCCACCCATACATTTATCAGTTGATAACTCATGCTATTAATAATGTCCACTTTATTCAAAGTGACTGATATGGCTATTCAGATGTCTCAATAATCCAAACAAATTAGTTCATAATAAATATGACCGGATTAACGAGATTTCACTGTATATATATACAATGTGAGAGTTATTGAAACTTTAATAAAGTAAACAAAGCAACATTTTGACCATATAACTAAATAGCAGGTAAGAATTATTCAAAACCTGAAACACATAAACAATATTTTCACTATCATTTTTGTAACAACACAGAAACACCATCGTCTCAATGCTGACAATAGTTTGACTAAAACAAGCATTTGTTCTACAAAATAATAATGCTAAAATATGGTATAATGCATGAAAGTAAGTGTGTTGAACAATATTGCAATAGCTTTGAAATCTTTACATATGATCATGATCTATCAGAATAAATTCTTTTTTCACTCGTATCTTTCTGAGTATAATCATATTCATATTTAAAATGGATTAATATGCTGATAAAAAAAATCTATAAAACTATATCAGAACAAAATGAAAAATAACTATTATATTCAAAGAATGATGAAAAACAAATATTTATGTTAAAAGTGTTTTAAACAGTAACTGATCAGTAAGTATTATATAAAACAGTACCTTTCACTAAATAACAAAAACTTTTGATAAAATAAACAGCCTTACCTTGACACAGTGTAAGTATGTAAGTTCAGTGCAAGTGGCTTATAACTACTATGAAGCAATACCAATATCCTACAATTTAATTATAATCACTTAATTGTTAGAAAATAATTATATTATGCTAATCATATTTAAATACACTGTTGACCTAAATATTTAATATTATTTTGTTTCTTCATAATTTCTGCTTAACTGTGAAGCAGCTGTATTGTTTTATGTTTTTAAAAGAATTTGCGTTATACTTATATGTGTTTTTATTTTTTACATAATGATGCCAAGCTTCTTAGAGTGCTCTATTATTACATTTTTCTTTTTGCATTTTTAACATACTTTTATTTTCGAACGTTAAACAAGTAAAAATGTGCAATGTGCACTAATTATTACAATAACATCTATAAGGTTTACAATGCAAAAAAACAACAAAACAAATTTAACTGTTGAGTAGTTTCCTGAATAACACCATGTTTTGTATAGTTTTACAAAAGATCATTCATTTATATATAAACACACACACAATAGAAAAACAAATTGTGGATAGAAGGATAAAATAAAAAAAAAAAACGATGGCTTGTAAGGAAAACTAAATTGAATGATTATTGGTTTGGTTTGGTTTGAATTTCACACAAAGCTACACAAAGGCTGTCCGCACTAGCCATCCCTAATTTAGCAGTGAAAGACTAAAGGGAAGGCAGCTATCATCACCACCCACCACCAACTCTTGGGCTACTCTTTTACCAATGAATAGTGGATTGACCGTCTCATTATAATGCCCCCATGGCTGAAAGGGTGAGCATGTTTGATGATGGGATTCAAATTCGAGAACCCTAACCACCTGGCCATGCCAGGCCTATTTGAAGGATGAACAAAACAGAATTAGCTAAAAGTTATTTGTTACTGCAAGAAAATTACAAAAAGGGAAAAACAATTAACATGGGTTGAATATCACCAATGTGAGAATGAAATTTTTTTATATTAAAGCTGGCAATCAAGTAGGTTTCTATCATCTCTATATATAATTTAGACTTAAACCCAGTTTTAATACCTAAATGTCCAGCAGGCTGAAATGGATCCCAATGTAGGTCGTATACTTAAACTATGCTTCCAGGTTTGTATCAACACTTTAATACTTCCAAGGGGAATGGGGTTCACAAGAAAAACAAAGACAAATACTCTGAATATGTTTTGGAAAATATTAAATTGTGTTAATGGCCAAGTATTCAATTTTGTGTTATCTATCAATATTTTCAAAAACCATATTATGGAAAAATATGAACTATATTCCAGGATCAAATGATTCACAATATGACTTTGTTACAAGTTCTTTGTAAAAGACCAATATTTGAATAACTGAATTGTTTTACCTTCCCTAATTAGCTGTTCATGTTGTAACTGCAATAATCTTTAATTAAATATAAAAAATCTAATGTGGATGATTCACAATCTATGTGAAAAGTTCAGTTTTCTTTATTGCAAGTTTATTATCTATAAACATGAATACTCAGGCAAGTTTTGTTCTGAAGTAACCCAGTAATATCTATGGGTTTTAAGTTAGAAGAATGCATAGCATTTCAACTACATTTCTCAGGCTGGCTGTGTTAGAGAAAAGTTAGTTGTCTTATTTCTATATGGGATACATATGATCAACTGTGAGATGGTACAACTTAATGTCTCATATATATGTCTGCTTTTAATAACATTTGAACTACACTTCTCAGGTTGACCCAGTTAGGAGAGCAGTTAGATGTCAATTTTAGTGCACAAATGCCACCAACTGTGAGACTGTACAACTTAAGGTTGAGATATCTGATTTTAATAACATTTCAACTAAGAATAGTTGTTGCAAATTAGCTGGTCTGGTGGATTCTGGAATAGAGACGTCATCAGTAATGGCATACATCATTTATAGTTTATTATACATAAATGCTGCAATTCGAAAAATGTACCACGTCATATATAACTGTCCAGATTGAATGTAGCATTGATAAGTCATTTGTAAACAATATTATTTCATTTTACTGTTTGTAATTTAATGGGAAAAATAACAGTTTATCGTAGTTCTAAGAAATTAAGCGATACTTTCTGAAAATGATTATACACTAAAATGGCAATATTAGTTTTAATTAGTAACAGAATTTACAATATATGGCAGCTCAAGAAGATACAATCAAAGCTATTTTTTCTTTGTAGATCACAGTATGTAAAAAAGAACAAGTTCCATTTGTTTTTCTTGTTAGGCATAATGCTACACATCTAGTTATCTGCACTATTTCTACTACAAGAATCAAACCCATTTTCATCTTTAGTATTTAGTGATACTGGCATATTTAATTTTCTTTATTGGTATATGAATGTGTATGTAGGGGGGCATCAAGTACCACAAACAGAGGAGAGGGGAGTCACTATCTAAATATAAAGAACCACTGAATAGAGAGGAGAAAGCTAGTCAGCAGCACCCACTGCCAATTTTTGGGCTACTCTAAGTCTAATTGAATAGTGGTATTTATTTGTCAGTATTATAAATTCCCATGGCCCCAAAGTGCAGATTGAGAGTTTATAGCACAGGGACATGAACCATGGACTCTTGAATCCACAATCTGGCATGTTAACTTATAAGCTAGACTTAGCCCAGCCTTTTTGTAATATCTCTAATATCCTAAAGTAAATGTTTCAAAACTTGACAAGATTGCAAGATATTTAATAAACACCACTATGAGAAATGAGTTTTAAATACTTAAAACTAAAAGAAATATAGGAATTTTATCAAATTATTTCATCCCATTTTTATATAAGCTACTATAAACAGCTTCACTTTAATGCGTTAACCTTAAAAAACAATGCTTACCGGTTGGTTACTTAAAAGTGATGAGTAATATAACCCTTTGGAAGTTGAAGTTGATGATTTAACAAGTATTGGTGAAGAGGAAAAGCCTTTCCTATTGGCTGTGGAATAATTTAGTGAACTGCTGACGATTACTGCTGGTGGAGGAGATGGAGTACTTAAAGGATGAAAAGGCGATAAACTTCCGTCAGTATCACTGTTAGTACTTGATGGGGGAGTTGGGGGAAGAGGAAATCCTGGTGAGCAAAACAAAAAAATACGACTTTAGTTTGATTGTTTTGAATTTTCGCGCAATGCTACACGAGTACTATCTGCGCTAGCCGTCCCTAATTTAGCAGTGAAAGACTAGAGGGAAGGCAGCTAGTCATCACCAGCCACCGCCAACTCTTGGGCTACTCTTTTACCAACGAATAGTGGGATTGACCGTCACTTTATAACGCCCCAACGGCTGAAAGGGCGAGCATGTTTGGTGGGATGGGGATTCGAACCCGCGACCCTCAGATTGCGAGTCGAGCTCCCTTACCACCTAGCCATGCCAGGTCACGATTTCACTAAACAGATCAAGTTACCAGAAAAATTGGCTACTAAATTAGTGAAGAAAAAAGTTAAACAGTGCAAAAGCCCTACTTCTTGGTTTATTAATATAAAGTAATAAACTCAAAGTGGCCCCATTCTTTAGCAGAAGGAACTATATTTTTTATTGTTTGTTTCCGTAATAGGCAAAAGTGGCTTGATTATACGTACTGCATATATATATATATATAATTAATACATAAAATATATGTATATAATTCATCGTGAAATTATGTATCAGAAAAAGAGTTCGCCCAAAGCTTTTACAAATAAGTACGAAAATTCCACTATTATTATTATTATTTCCATAATTCGAAACTCATAGCTATCTCAACTCACCAGCATTCTCCAGTTTAATGTTGATATTAGGCATAAGCAAACGACGACGTTTAGCGCCTTTGGTATTACTCTCAGGATGTGTTACGAGTGAATTGTGCTGTACAGAAGCAGTTGATTGAGTCTTGTTGTCCGACGATGTGCATGGAAGTAATTCGGTGGATGGACTTGGAGGAGAAGACAGAGGTTCTTGTTTCACAGCGTTAAATCCAGTGAATTCTGCTTCTCCACTTGCAGATGTCAGTGGTATCGCTGGGAAACACTCAGCAACCATGTCTAAGAAGATGAAGAATCAAAAATGTTATCAGAATCAGTAGATATATATCAAATCATCAGCTAGTGTTACGAGTCTGTTTACAAAGCATGGCTTCTACAAAATAGAGCCTCAGAGCTTTTAATTAATTACTTATAATACAGCCAGGTCCCCATAGGTTTCAGTTACTAGTAGTAACGAAAAATGTAGCAACTACATAATTTTAATTTTCAGTTTTTTAAACAATTGCAAAACTGATGTCATAAAGTTACGAATATATACGAATAAACAACCCTTCAGTTGCTTAGAATTAAGCACAAAGCTAAACAATGCGCTAACTGTGCTCTGCCCACCACGGGTATCGAAACCCGGTTTCTAGCGGTGTAAGTCCGCAGATATACCACTGTGCCACTGGGGGGTGGGGGGGGCGAACCCTTCAAAAGACAAGGGTGAATGATTATGCTGAAATAAAAAGTTTAACATAAGAGATCTCAGTGCTTATTGGAGGACTGTAGTCATTACCAAAGAATTTAAAAATAAGACAAAAAACCCATCAAAAACTAAAAAAAAAGACTTAAAGTTTTCTTTATGGCTCCCTATAGTTTTTCCTGAGAAATTTAAAAAAGTCAAAACATCAAAACAGTTTGTTTGAAACATTATGGTCATTTAACTTTTTACACATGTGAAAAAAATGTATGAAAAGTAAGGAAATTGTGTGAAAGCAAATCAACTACAAAAGTTTTGATCTACCCTGAAAGCTGTTTCTTTAATCTTGAAATTCCTGATTTGCAAAGTTTGCATATTGTTCATTACCGAATACTTTTATGGCTTTTGCCTATTACAACACTCATGTAAGGAACTGATAAAAAAAAGGGTGAATCACCCATTTTCCATGTTAAATGCGTAGGAAATCCCAGTCGTATTTAGTGGGATTAATTGCAATATTGACGGTATTTTTTGTTGTATTTTTTATTACTCAGGTGTTACTAAGAGTCTTGTAACTATCCAATTCATGAATCCACAAGCAATTTGTTACAAAAATACTTCAGAAAAATCTGATGGGGTGTGTTGGGTTCTAGACCCCGTTAGTAACCAGGCATGGCTTTAAGGTTTGTTTGTTGGTTTATTTTAGTGCAAAGCTACACAGTACGCTATCTGCATTCTGTCCACCGCGGGGAATCGAGCTCTGGATTTAAGCGTTGTAAGTCCGTAAACTTACTACTGACAAACTGGGTAACCAGCGTTATGAATAGGCAACATAAGCGTCTGCCTTGGACACCAAACACTCAGTGGCTGCAGTATAAGTAAGGGCGCGGCCATAATTTTTGCCTAGGGCGCCAGTTAAGCTATAGCCGGCCCTGTTGGTAATTCTAGGGTTGAGTTCTAAAATACAAAGGCGTACCTACCTTCGCAATATTTTTTTCTCTTACATTTCAAATATCTTAGTTCAAGTTATTAGCAAAGACTACTGCCAACGGGGACTGAACAATGTGCATAATACTAATGTATATCTTGTTTTTTGTTTGCTTGTTTTGAACTGATATAATTTGACTGAAGGCAGTCAAGTGGTTCAACTTGAAAGCATTAAATACTTAAATTGTTTTACGTTAATTCAGGCTGTACAGCTTATTCGAGGTAGTGTACATGTTTTGTTTATTAAATTATTCGAAAACCAGAGTGTTTCTAATCAAGTGGCTCGTATTCAAAGAGATGTTTCTAGAAAGGTACTAAAAGCCTCAGTGCTTATCACATCACTATATCGAAGACCTGAATTATATGGTTGGCTGACTTCAATTTTAAAACTTCTTTGTTATACCAGACCATGGTGTCTGTAGGAACGCTCTTCCAGAAATCATCTCAGATTGACATAACCTGCACTATACTTCCACTTCAGTTGTTTTGAATAAAACAAGACTGCTTGGAATGTTGATATCCAAAACGTAACGTCTGATATTATTACTTATTTTCAGATATTTTGTTTGTTGTTAAGCACAAAGCTATACAACGAGCCAGCTATGTGTGATGTGCCCACCAAGGGTGTCCAAACCCAGACTTTAGCGCCATAATTCTTCAGATTTATTGCTGAGCCACTGCCGAAATTTTGATAAAAAAGTGCTTTCTTCCGAATTACTAAAGTTAACTTCCAAGATGTTCGAGGATCTTACTTGGTTACTGTCAAACCACTGGTGCTACAAGTCTGAATCCAAACAATGTTCAAACCAATTCTTTCATGTTACTAAAGAACTGCTGTTACTAGCCGACTTATTGTTCCGCTAAGAACTGACTATAGGAAGTTTCAGGTTAATAAAAATATGAAATTCAAAGAAAGACCAAAATTTCCCCTTCAAAGCAGGTCCCACTACTCAAAAATCACTTTTACCAGATGAATTCAAGCTTTCGTCTTTTCAAGCACTGTCTGTTAGAAAGCAGCTTCTAGTTAACGTAATGTTAAAAATCACATTAAGACTTAAAGCTAACCTTTCAAAACCAGATTAGACAACAGAAGAACTGTTTATCTTTAATATAATTTGTCTCAAATAGAATTTATTGATAGAGAAAACTGATACTTTCATTTTAAGACTAGACTTGAGAAATACATCATTTGAAAAGATAATAAAAAAACGATAGTTTCAAAGATTGTTCTCTTCTTCATCAGGAACACCAGGCGACTTTGTTGGAAAATGTTGTGTTTAATATTGGAATATTTTATTTCCTCCTAAGTAAATTATCCGTAAGGAAAGTGACAGTCATAACATTAAATTCCATTACACGAAATTTGTTACTCATGTCACCATAACAAGCACTCAAAACGAACCCAATCGAATACCTAAGAAGAAACCACTGTCATGCACCACCGATTTAGGTACCCATGGATCACATTCTTGGAACGAATTTAATTGTAAAGACAAAGCTCTTTTGTTTGTATGTTTCAGAATTTCGTGCAAAGCTACATAGGGGCTATCTGTTTATAGCTGTCTCTAATTTTGAATTGATGGACTAGGGAAGAAGGCAGCTAGTCAATAACACCCACCGTCAACTCTCAGGCTACTCTTGTTTGGTCGAATAGTGGGATTGGACTATCACTCTTATAGTGCACCCGCGGTTCTAAAGCGTGTAGCGCATTTTTGCGGCACCGGATTCAAACCGTGAATCCTCTCAGCACACTAATCAGTATACCACGCCAAACTCTTTTTGAAACATTTGAACTAAAACAGCACTGGCTGCATGTATAAAGAATAATCAATTAACGTTTAACTGAAATTAGCCTATTTATACATTTAAATCATACTTTTCTTGCCAACAGATGAAGGTGGGATAAGAAAGTGTATCATGTCTAAAGAATTAAGAAATGCAGAATTATTGCTTTGTAAAACCAAATACAAAACGTAAATAAGATTATAGTTATCGTTCTGTTTTTAAATCAAAACCCTGACATTACCCTTAAAGTTTTTGCCAGAGAGTTATCTTAACTTTTATTTCGTGTCAATTAATCCAACAAAACTTTACATTCCCTGCATTACAGTGAAGTAAACTAAAAAGAGTGCGGTTATAAAATATAATAAATTAGTTTATAATATAGAATGGAGAGTGTGCAGTTTCTCATACTTCTGCAAGTTTTCCAATTATCTTTTAAATAATTACCGTGAGGAAATGTTAAGAACCTATGCGAAACCACGAAACAAACACACACACACACACACAAAATGAACATTGGGTGAATCACATCGTTAAAACACTTATTTGCTATGTTTAACAACATTTAAACAACTTTGTAGATTTTCAGTTCAATTTGTTTTAAAAAGGCGGCAGTGTTTACGAATACTTTCCTCGTTAGAATGGTTGAATATGAATTAGTATTCGATACCTCAACCTAACGTGGGTCAAAATAATAATAACGTTCGGTTCCACTCTTAAAAACTGTAGTATGTTTATATCCACGCGGCAAAGATCACGTGCTTGTGGAACACGAGAACGATATAATTTTACCGTGTTCGTCCCACTTCAAAAAGTGTTATTGTTCTATGGTGACCAATATCTTAATGCACTAAAAGCACACCACGTTCTTTGGGCAACAAGCGGAACAAGGAAACGTCTGTAGTGAACACAGCGAATTGACTCACCCCCTGGTAGCTTTAGTTAAAACACGTTTCTCCGGGGTAATTTTTTTTATTTCAACAGGATATTTTTACGTAGACGTTAATAGATAACAAGAATGAGAATCATATCTATGCTTGGGGAAAAACATAAACGCGTTCTAGTCTGGTACGCTAGCTTTTAATGATAAATTTAAATCTGTGGGCATACCTTGGCGTAAAAATGTCAAATGCACTTTCCAACAACATAACTCGAAACGTTAAAAGTGATCATAGAAAGGTGTTTTTTTTTAAATTATTAAATTCTTCTGTGTTTGTATAACTTGGTAAGTTAAAAACACATTTTTAAAGTATAAAAGACCGTATAAGAAGTGAACTGAACTTCACAGGGATCTTTCTCATATTTTACTGCACCGACACATATGCAAGTCTGAGTGATAATGAAAAACTTATATATACACTTTTGTAACTATAACAACTATATTGTAGATTGAGTATATACTTTTGGCTGATTTTTTTCCCTTTTTTTTGAGTAAATATATTATTTTCACCTCTCACTGATTCCTCGTATTTTAAAGAAAAGAAAACGATTATGACTCACACTACTGACGATTAAGATAATACAATGTTAAATTTTACAGCAACACCAAGCTGGTAAGTCAAATTTGGCGAAACGTAAAATTTAAATTAAGCACAAAAACAGAAGAAAGGAACTTTATAAATAGTTTCGTTTTGAGTTTACTAACTGATTAAGTTTATTTTATTACAAGTTACAGCTTTTACAGTAAGTAGATTTGTTTTTAGAACAGGGACAACGTTTCGATCAGTGGTGCGATCAATCTCAAGTACACACGTTTTAACGGTATATAATGATTTTGTATTTAAAACAACATCCAACATCTAACAATGTTTTTAAATTCTAGAACTGGTAATGGTTACTAATGCATGTACATATCAAATAATCTGTCAATTCACGCGGATTGATATGTACGTGCATTTCTAACCACTATCAGTTCTAGAATTGAAAAACATCGTTGGATTATTGGATGTTGATTTAAGTACTAAACTGTTCTTTTACTTCTATTAAGAGTAACGTCACACATAGGCGTGACTGTTTACATGTTTTCCCAAATATAACACAACATAAAGAGAATGATACTTAAAGAAACGTATAAACACTCCTCAAAAATATAATATATCGAAAAAAAACAAACAATTCTGTAATTGATGCTTTAATTAAATAATTCAATGATGAGTACGCTGACACTACGACGCTTCTCATGATTTGTTGGCATGTCTTTGGTCGAACGAAACCGAGAAGCCTCGAGGAGGAGAGTTCCACTGGAAGTATGAATGTCTAGATAGCTACAAAGGTTAATGTTCCCAGGAGAATGTGGCAGTTGTTCGCCACGCTGTCTAATTGTGTTACAGATCAGATAAAACCAAACTAACCACAAAGTTCGTACAGTTCTAAGTGGCCTGAATGTTTTATATAAATAACACATTTGAATGATTTCTCTGGCTAGAATAAGTCAGGTTACAGTGTTCTATCTAGAGTAAGAAGTTAAAATACATTTGAAGACTATCTTCGAGATAGAATACACGATTTATGCACTCGCTCATTGTAACGGCTTCTTTCAACAACTTAACAGTTTTTGGAATTTCTGATGCCAAGTTCAAATTTGTGCAAAGATATTCCTACGAATGTTTCACAGTATAGTTCTGAGATGTTAAGGACTCCAACACATGCAAGACGCTTACTTAAGTAATGAATCAGAAATATGAAATGGAAAAGATGAAACTTGAGGAAACTTGCGTGTACCACATGTAACATACCATCGTGGCGCAAACCTCACTAAGTAGTTGTGGCTGTTTTCTTTCTTCTTCTTCTTTTTTTTTATTTATTACAATCTCGTTACTCAGTAACGAGATTTAAGGGTCGTATAATCAGTTCTCGATGACATTCTACACATTCTGCAAAGTTAAAGCAGGACTTGCCCAAGATCGAATAGGACTCTGAACTGATTGCACGTAGGGCTTTACATCAGAAAATCTTAGCCACACTTCGTCAAAGTAAATATTCTAAAAGTCGTTTCTCTGATAAAGTTTTACCCATTGTAATATTTTATTGAATAGTGTTTTGCTTAGAAAGTTTTAAGAAATAAACGTGGACATGTACGCTAATTCGATTCTATCTTTAATAAGTTTTTGGACCATGAGATCTCTGATTCACAGCGATAGGAAACTATTTAAAAACGTGACTAAACTTTAATATCAATTTAACTGTTCTTTATGAGTAAGTCGAATGTCCCCCAGTGAGTCAGCTGTAAGTTTACTGATCTACGACACTAAAATCTGGCGTTCGAGTCCCTGTATCGGACAAAGCGTAGACAGCCTATCGTGTAGCTTTGCGCTAAAAAACAACAACAAAAAACTGTGTGTCGAAGTATCGACTTACCTTCAGAATAATCCTCCATCTGGTTGTCAGGTGGTTGTTTGCTTAACGGAGAGTCTGGAATATTATCATCAATGGCGAGAGAATAACAGTGATCTGCTTGAACAAAGGGAGACTGGACAGCATCCGTCATCATCCGGTCATGCAGTATAATAGAACGGTTATCTAAGATATTTTTACAGTCCATGTCCAGATCCAGATCCATGCATTGAAGCTTCTATCCAAGAAAATTATTGTACTTATTACTTAAGAAATAAATATAGAAATGAATTCCTTGCTATTTGCTTCTGGTTTTAACTTGATTTATTTTTACTCTATTGATATAGTTTATTAAATTGAATGTTTCAAGCGCGCATTATACATACACGAACTAATAATGTCAATATTATATTTGTTTTCATCACATTTATATATAACTCTTAAGTGAAAAACATAAAAAAAAACATTATAAGCGCTATAATTAACACACACGTTTCTTTGGAGATACGTGTTACAAGTACAAAAATGTCCACGGCATTAACTTTGTTCTTACATACAGTTTGATACATGAGCAGAGAATTCATTAGAAGTGAATAGCCCAACCTTAATTAAACCGTATTTACTCAACGCCATAAACAAAACCCTAGATGCGTCTGTCACTGGTAAACAAACTTCTTTACAATGTGACAAAACACTTACCTGTTCATCATGCACGCTCTTTTTTAGTTATAAACAACTTCTGAATGCATATAAACACAACTATTTTTATGAATGAAGAGAGTATATCAAATATACCAAACAATTTTCCAATCCAGACTTAAATATATATATATACGGTAGTTTAAATAATCGAAACTAACATAGAGGGCTCTGGCATCGATATATAGAGTAGCCGGCACAATTGAAAAATTACGTAACTTAGGTGAAACAACTCGGCTACTCGGATATTAAATGAATGATAACTGCACGCGTTATTCTATCGACCTTCGTAAAAATTGAATTTTACGTGCTTGGTAAAGGAGTTTAAAGAACCGAACATAAATTATTTTTACCCCTCGGGATTCCTCCTTGGTACGTAAAATATTCTGAGGTCAAGTTGGTAATAAAAGAGAGGTAAACTTAACAAAACTAGCATAAAAAAAGCAGGAGATTTTCTCAACAGCAACCGAACACATCAAAAGAAAAAAACCACTGTTAAAGTATATTAATGTACAACTTTTTTTTATTTAAATTTGAATCAAGATTTAGAAAAGTATCTTGGTCTATCTTCCTAAAACTATTGAAGTTTCTTTACCAAACTTAGACAGGTTCAGTATGCTAGAAAAACACAATAATATCAACAGAGCTGTGTAAGTGATAAGTAACAGGGCAATAGTACAAATACAAAGGAAGTTTCTGTGACTTATAACAGGAAGATCCAACCTTTTCCTGCTGTAGGGTGGACTGTGGAGGATGAAATAAGGGAGATCCATAGCTTCTTTCTTTTATAACTTAACGAAACATCCCTATCAAAACATATTTGCGAGTAACTTTCTTAATACATAAACTTGAAATTTAATATGTGATTAATAACAGATTTTCCACAACTCAACTACTGCGATTTCAAAAATAATATTCTTCTTTGTTCTATCACGTAAGGATTAGTTACAAATCTGGAAGAAAGAAAAACTCTTATTTGGATCAAATTATTATTGTGTTTACCACAATGAACATTTTTTTATTATTATGTTTGTTAACGAAAATACAAACAAACTGAAGAAAAGGGAAGAACACTAGTGTCAAACGAATATGCATCCTCGTTCATCCTGATTGTGTGTGTGTGTGAAATCTACATCTTTTATTCTCAAACTACGTGTTGTGGTCTTTCTTTTATGTATTGCGTTATGATGTTTTGTGAAAAATCTGTACGTGATGGAGAAAAGTGGATATCATTTTCGGATTCAGCTTACAGGAATTACTGTAGACCATGTAAAATTTTCAAGACAATAAAATCATCGCAGGCCTGTGTTATTAATATGCAGGCCGGATTCAAGACAATAAAATCATCGCAGGCCTGTGTTATTAATATGCAGGCCGGATTCAAGACAATAAAATCATCGCAGGCCTAGTGTTATTAATATGCAGGATAATTTCAGCCGCCAATTGGACCTCACTCACTTAAATTAATCTCTCCGTGTTATTCTTAAAATTCAACTTTTATACGTTTAAACATTGGATAATTTACCTGAAGAAATCTTTCCACAAAGTAACTAAATATATTTTTGTTCCTCTCGTACATCTTATTCGATGTGATATTTACGATCAGTTCAATAATAGACAAAATCTTAAATCTGATAAACGGCACTGTTAGAGCTAATTGTTAACCGTGAAATAACCAGTGTTATGACAAATCAAATAACGAATGTTATGAAAGGCTGTTACAAAGCGTACGAAACGTGGCCTAGTGATCAACGTATTGGGCTGCGTCTGGAAGGGCCTGAGTGATGCCGTTGAACACGTTCTCAGCTGTAAGCGTGATATAACAGTAACAGTCAGTCTCGTTATTTGGTTCAAAGAGCCGGACAAAGGCCTTGATGTTGTCTAGTTGCTTTTCCTCTGTTCAGTAGCTGAGAATTAGGTGCGGCTATACCGGCATGCGCCAGATCTGGCCGTTTAGCACACATGCACATGAAGTATTGTCACGAAATTATTATATATTTGTGACCCGTACCTAAAATGAATACGGTTATTAGCTTAGTTACGAATCTGATAAGAACCCTAGTTTTTGAAGTAACTGTAATGGTAGAAATTTTTAAGATCTCATTCGGAAAGTATAAGTCAGTGGTTGGACGCCCCAATAAAAATGTCACTTAAATTTTTGGTATATTTATATATGAACGATTTTCACTGAGTCAATAAACTTTTTGTGTTTAACAACAGGAGCAGGAGAAAAAAAAAATGAACTTTTCTTTCGTTTGCTGTTAGAGTGACGTCAGTACATATGCTCGTGGAAACCATACGTTGCTGAAGAATACTGCAGCTGTGGTGGATCGAATAGAAAACTAACAACAAAGCGAAGCAAACATGAAATACTATCTTCTAACAGGTGGAAAACGCACGTGCGGCGTACACATACGCACTTGGCGTTAATAAGCTAATAATTTTCACCAAAACTTATTTAAAGATATGTAATAATATGTGAAATATAATATCGAAAAGAAAAACTCTATTGAAACGTTCATTGCTACAGTCTAGAAATTTGTAAAAGTAAATAAGACTCCTTTACCCACAAATGAATTATCTGGATTCAAGAGGTTGTATGTCGTTTTTCGTACACTTAGTTCAAGTTATTCCATTTTTACAACACATTAAACCTGCCTAAATCCGTTAAATACGTAACTCAGAACAGTATAAGTGAATGCCATGAATTTACATTTGTCGGTTGAAATAATTCCCCGGTGGGGCAGCTGTAAGTCTACGAACTTACAACGCTAAAATCCGGGGTTCGGTTTCCCGCAATGGACACAGCAGATAGCCCATTGTGGCTTTGCTCTCAAACAAACAAACAAACACAACATTTGAAATTGTAAGAACGTTCAACGTGAGTTTCACAGACAGAATCGAACGACTATCCCAATATTCTAAAAGTCCACTATCTTATTTTTTTTTTAAATGAGCACTTGACTTTTATGTGAGCCATTTAAATTCTTTGTGTAGAAGAAAAGGCCCAAATTTTTTGGACCCCACACCCACCCTCCCCCATTCTGGCAATGCTCCTGACAAGGCCTTATCATAAAGAAGTTTTCAGTGGTATCGTCAATTTCATCAAATAAATCAGTTTACTTTATGTGTCAGTTTCATGAGATTACTATATGTATATTTCTCAACAGTGTCGAAATATAGGAAACAAAACACGTCATGGCAAAATGCCCTTTAGAGTTAGCATCATATAAAAACATAATAATGACAGAGTATTCAAAAGATGTTTAAAATTAGCAAATATGGGACATCTAGATAACTGTGTAAAAGCGCCGGTCACTCAGCAGTAAGTTTGAGGTCTTAAAACGCTAAAAATGGAGTTTTGATACTCTCGGTGGACACAGCAAGGATAGCTCACCGTGTTGCTTTGTGCTTAACAACAGTAACTGTGTAAATCATACCAAATCTAAGATTGTATAAAACAAATTAGAAGACAAAGTCCCAGTACCACAATGTGTAAAAAGAAACGATTTGACAAAGACCCCTATATTATTTTTATATTAAAAAGTTTATATGGAAGAGGCACAAGTTTTGCTATAATATAAAAAAGAAATAAATGCCAAGCGTCCAAATATTACAATTATATAAAGATACGAAGAATAAAGAAAATGCCAGGCATTTCTTCCAAATTATCTTAGATTAAGAAGGATAGTAATGATAAAGTCGCATAATCTAATTTCCGTCTTATTACCTCGTAATAGAAACAACAATGACGAAAAAGTTTTTTTTTAAAAAACAATGATTTTTTTTTACACAAAAATGAGACTGGGAACGGTCTCAAAAATACAATAAAATACTGAATAACTTATTGTACAAGATAATAAAAAACCGGTGAGACTGTAAACAGTCTTATACACTGTATAATAAGTTATTAAGTATTTTATTGCATTTTGAACTGGAAACAAGGAAACCAACATGCCAATCTTAGATTTCCATAAAATAAATAAAAAAGCATAGAAAATATCACAGCCTTGTTTTCTAGTTTTTAAAGCGTTTGTTAAAAACACATTTGGAATTATTTTACCAAAGATACAACCTGAAAAGCTTGTAATGTCATGTTAAAATTACATTTTTTACACTTGGAATACAATACTCCCGTTAATCAGAATTGAACCACTATAAAAAATTTAATTAAACAAATTTGTTTTAACGATTGAATCCCAAAGAGGAAATAAGTCACGCGATAGCAGATGACAGTGTAGTACATCTAATGATCTGTAGCATTATCTGAACAATCCCTAAAAATCCCTAAGAAAACAATTCAGGTATTGGAGGAAGAAAAGTATTTAAGAAACACAAAAGTACAGAAAAAATAAATAACATTATTTACATGCATTAGGGCAAAGTTAGTATAATTGAAATAAGAAGTCACGGGAATAGTAGTCAATTATAATTTCGACTTTGAAATTAAATTATTTATTAAGTAAAAAGCATGATATTATATTTATAAATTAATTAATAAAACCCTAGGGTTGTATAAATATTGTATGAAGACCGTAG